CCCCCCCGGCTGTATGTTGTACAGAATACTGCTCGATCCAGAAGTGAGCATACATCATGTCCCCACACAATGTAAATCTGTATGTACAGTGAAGTGTTTGTATGAGCTCTTCCCTCTACAGCTGTCACCCAGAAATCCTTGGGATTAAATGAACTCCTGTAAAGTCTCCTGGATGCTTTTTTTTTTTTTAATTTGTTTTATTTTTTATTTTTATTGTTTCCGCATTGGTTGCAGGCCCTCTTGTTTTAACTTTTTGTGCGTTTAGTTTCTGGCCATGCCCTGATGTCCACTGCCTTGAACCCATAGTCACAGGGGCAACTGAGAAACAGAAAATGTGAACTTTGCTCCAATAGGTGAATAAATGGGTTTTCAAAATGGCTTACTGTGTCTGGTGGGGGGGTTGAGAAGTATACTGGATAAGTTATGAGTCTAATAACCAAAGTGACATTTGTTGGAGTCGTGTACATACTGTGAGTGTTCCCAGGTAGTTGAGTGGGTGGTATCGGAACAAAATCTCTAGCAGGGTTTGTCATTTCATATTGTAAGAGAAACTTTATGGAAAAACTACTAGTATTTGTTTTTGGCTAATCCAAAGGTACTGACTTACATTGATTAAAAACAATCCATAGTGCCATAAAGCAGATCTGCTTGTTTATTTGCAACACCATGCACAACAGCCTAATGTAACCAGATCTGTGTGGCTCATTGTCACCCCTGTGTTTTCCCAACCGTCTAGTTGGCCAGGGATTCTAGCCCCTGCCAACCCTGCCCAGTTGCTCTAAGCAAATCTCAGAACTCTAGAACCCAATAACCCATTCAAAGCTTTAAATAATCTACCTTTGCAGTGTCGTAGCCCGTTAATAACTGAACAACAGTTACTGACAGCAAGCAGTGAAAATACAGCTCTGTGTACAGTGGCATTTGCTATTTGACTAAGACTATAAAAAATGTGCTAAATGCAATCTTTAAAAACTGTAGAGCTTAAATATACATTAATTCAATTACTTCAGTGAACTGCTTCAAACTGCACAGCACTCCAGTGTAGGCTGTTTTTGTTTTATATAATGATCA